CAGGGCATGTGCAAGGGCCCAGGCGGTTGACCTCCATGGTACATGGCTATATCTTCAATGACTCCTGCCTGTGGGTAGCCCGCTCTGCCTGAGATGATCGGGGTGGCTCCTGGGTTCTGCAGGCGGGGAGATCAGGCTTTATGCCAACCAGCTCAGTGATGGGTCCATAAGAACACACACCTGTCTGTGCCCACACTCTAAGCTTGGGGAAGTTCCAGGCCCTGCACCCCAACAGGCAAGGGGCTCCATGTTCAGAGCAGAGAGTCAGCTGCTCAGAGGAGCCAGCAGACATCAGGAACCCCGATCCGCATTGGAGGAATGAGGTCTGCTTCTCCTGGACAGTGCTCCTCTTCAGGAAAAGCTACAGTTTCCTCCTCCTGACCTGAAGTCCTGGGTCTCCTGTGTCCCCAAGGGCTGACTCCCCTCTTTCCTCTCAGGAGTTTCTGACAGCTAACCTCAAAACCAGAGCAATGAGCTCACCTCTGGCCTCTCTTAGCAAGACACGGAAGGTGCCCCTAGAGTCGGAGCCTGTGAATCCTGGGTAAGGAGCCAGCTGGCCTCTAGGTCCTTGTGCCCCTGCCCTGTGTCCTCCTTGCCCTTTCCCTCACCAGAGGAGAATGACCATAGTGTCTAGGGGAAATACAGAGATACAGAGAGCAGTTGGTGGCTTCCTGTGGCTACCTTCCTTCTCTCTATGTCTCCGGGAACACTGCCTTGTGTGGACCAAAGATTGGGTGGTGCTTTCTGGAAGGCCTGGCCCGTGAGAGTCCTTGTCATTCACTGTTCACTCACTGGCTCTGCAGACAAGAGTGTCCTGTCAGCCTGGGCTCTTAAGTGCCAATGCCGTATATCTTGTTCCGGTCCTCTTGTAAAGCTTTTTTCTTCTTCTTCTATTATTATTGTTGTTGTTGTTGTTATTATTATCATTATTATTGGTTTTTCAAGACAGGGTTTCTCTGTGTAGCCTTGGCCATCCTGGAACTCTCTCTGTAGACCAGACTGGACTCAAATTTACAAAGATTCACCTGCCCCTACCTCCAAAGTGCTGGAGGCGTGTGCTGCCACACCTGGAGCAAAGCTTTTTCTACATCCCATTTCCTTGTTGCTCTTCTGAACATACATGGAGTCTTGCTTAAGCCAGGGTGATCCAGGGAGGCTAAGCAGCAAGCCCACTGTGCTTCAGAGAGGAGCTAGGGCCAGCTCCATGGGCCGTGGAATCTTCCCACCAAAAACGGTCCTGCAGTGTCCCTCCGTCTTCCTCTGTTGGGAGCAGTTAAACACTGTACAGCATGTTGTCCCTCAGCTCACCCTGGCTAAGGACAGCTTGGATGGGGGGAGTCTTCAGGAGACAGAGGCTTAACCTCTATCTCTTTTAGCCTTGCATGGGGCCTGGAACCTTCCCTTGGTGGCATTCCAAGAGGCTTAATTTGTATTTGTTCCTTCTTCCTGCCTGGGTTCCCAGGAGGCGAGGGATAAGGATCTACGGAGATGGTGAGTGTGTGCTCTGCCCGTGCCCCTCCCCTCTCACCTTACAACCGGGCAGCTAGGGAAAGAGCCATGCTGAGGTCTTGTGAGGCTGGGCGGCTGGTCTGCTCCCTGTACTCTTCAGCTCTCGACCCTTTGCTCAGAGGTCTGGCCCTTGCCCTACTCCTCAGCAGGAATGCCCACACTATCATAGAACTCCTCTGCCTAATGTGGGATGATTATGGGTACCTTGAACCTATGGGAAGACCAGGGATGTAGACCTCAGCCTTTGCCTATGCCTTCCCTCCCTGGAGCCCTGGCCTTATTGCTGACTTGACTGTGTACCCTTAGGGGGGGGCAGTATATAAGCTATTTCATCTTGGCCAGGGCCCAGGGCCAGAGTGCTTTCTGGGCTGTGGCACCAGAGCAGTGACCTCGGCGTTCCTGTCCGCAGAAGATGAGGTGGACATGCTGAATGATGGACACGACTCAGAAGAAAAGATTTCTGTCCCTTCCTGCTATGGAGGCATTGGTGCCCCCGTGAGTAGGCAAGGTGAGAGCAGAGGGACAAAGGGCTGTGGGGCCCCTTGCTCACAGCAGCAGAAGAGACTCTAGAGGTGGGGTGAGGACCTGTGACCCAGGGTTCCTATTCTCACCTTCTGGGTTGAGACACTGCTCCTACTTCTGGCTAGCTGCCCCAATGCCTGTATCCCCAAACCCATCCAGGACAGGATTTAACCTAAAGCCACAGGTTGGGGCCCTGACCAACCACCAGCCCAGACTGTGACTAGCACCTCTCCAGTCTCTAGCAAATGTGTTATCAGCAGATCTGCAGTTCAGGTTCAGAGACGGCAAAGGGTCTGAAGGGGAGCCTCTGGCCATCTGCTTTATCTTCAGCAAGGTCCAGAAGGGCTGAAAGTTCCATAGTAAGGTATTCTTACCTGACTTTGTGTTTGCAAAGGCCTATATGGAGCTGCCCATAGTGGGGTGGGGACGGGGGAGAGAGGCCAGACAGGCACTGGGTAGGATCAGGGGAAGTTGGGGATGAGCGCTAACGGCTTAAGCAACTTTAACATCTCCTTGCTTTCTAGCTCTCGCACAGGGTACTTAGAGCAGTGGCCACCATACTGAAGGATAGCAGGAGGTGCCTTAGACCAAACTCCTCTATTTGACATTGCAGAGGGTTAAAATAGAAGAGACAGGACTTTCCTAGCCCAAGTCCCACAGTGACTTAATCAAAGACATGATCTCCTACACCTAGCTGGGGACAGCAGCAGTCATGCAACTGCCACCTTCTTCCCGACTAAGGACCCTACATCCCCTCTCCTCCTCTCCCTGCCACTCCCAGCTGGTGTGTCCCCACCAAGGTCTCCAATAGGACCTGCCTCTCCTCCATTTCTCCGCTTAGCAGCTGCCTCGCCTACCCCATTGCCTCCTTTTCAGATTAACTGCGCTGGCTAGATTGTTGATGGCTCCGCAGTCACCCATTGCTCCTAGGGTCTTTCTTGCTTTCTCAGTGCCCCCTTGTCTTGCCCACTTCTCATTGTGGACTTTTCCTTCTCTCCATACTGCCCCAGTGAGGGCAGCATGCTCTGTATACTGTTCCCACTTAAGGTGCTGGGTGGTGGTGGTGCATTCCTGGTGCAGAGGCAGGCGAATCTCTGTGGGTTTGAGGCCAGCCCGATCTATAGATTGAATGTTCCAGGTCAGCTAGGGATGTTACACAGAGAAACCCTATCTCAAAAAGCAAAACAAATGAAGGAAGGAAGGAAAAAGGAACAAAACAAAAAAGTGGCTTAAGATGCTTTTGGCAGCTGGGCAGTGATGATGCACGCTTTTATTTTTTTTATTTTATTTTTTTATTTTTTTTATATTTATTTATTTATTATGTATACAATATTCTGTCTGCATGTATGCCTGCAGGCCAGAAGAGGGCACCAGACTGTAGAGAGCTGCGTGATGCCATGCCTTACAGGTGGCACTGATTCCCACCTTCCACCTTTCCAACGGTGAGTGTTCTCAGATGTGTAACAACTCCATATATGGCTAATGCTAAGATCTGGCTTGCTTCCGCGTTTCTGGACCTATCTGCATTTCCCACATGGCTTGCTGGGGTTGGCTACCCAGAGGTTATTTAAGCTATAGACTGACTTTTCCCTGGGGCGAGAGGTTGAGAAGGAGCAAGAGGTTGCGAGAGATAGTGAAAGGATGAAAAGATTATTTTAAGGGCCTGAATAAAACCACAGTTAAGAAGAGTCCGGTGTTGCGTCTTCATTACTGACAAGAATGCAACACCAGACCTCATTACAGATGGTTGTGAGCCACCATGTGGTTGCCGGGAATTGAACTCAGGACCTTTGGAAGAGCAGTCAGTGCTCTTAACCTCTGAGCCATCTCTCCAACCCCTGGTGCACACTTTTAATCCCAGCACTCGGGAGGCAGAGGCAGGCGGATCTCTGTGAGTTCAAGACCAGCCTGGTTCACAAGAGCTAGTTCCAGGAGTCTTTTCTCTCCAGGTTCCAGAGAGCCCTGACTCCATGAATATACACACTAGGGAGCTGTATTATCCCTTGGACAAAGAAGCCCTAAGGAGGCAACTCCAGGGCTGGTAATTCAGGGACTTGAAGATGACATCAAGATAGAGTTTGGTTTTCTTCATCTTTCTCCTAAGCCATCCTGGGTATCTGGTGTGGTCTCATGACAGTGGCTGAAGTTCCTGCTTTTCATGTAGTTAGGGTGGTCAGTATCTTTCCATGTAGTTAGGGTGGTTAGTATCTTTCCATGTAGTTAGGGTGGTCAGTATCTTTCCATGTAGTTAGGGTAGTTAGTATCTATGGGATGAAGAGGGCCTGTGTTGTCCCTTCTCACTCACTCTTTTCTTCCTTTGTTTCTTTTTTTTTCTTCTTCTTCTTCTTTTTTTTGAAGGTGAGGTTTGGGACAGTCTCACGTGGTTTAGGCTGGCCTCAGACTCACTGTGTAGCCATGGATGACCTTGAACTCCTGGTCCTCCTATGTTGGGATGAAAGTGGCACAGCACCACCCTGGCTCCCTGGCTTTATTTGAACTATTTTTCAGTGTACAGACAAGCTGAAGTAGGAGTCCAGTGTCTCCCACCTCATAGCAACTGAGCTCTCACTGTAGTCACCTCCCCTGCCTGCACAGACAGGCACAGAAGGGCATCTCGGATGAGCAAGCTAGAGGTAATCGCAGAGGTCCTGACCGCAGATCTAGCTCCTTCAGTGCCCCTGCAGCCCCTAATGATAAGGAAGCACAAATAGTGTTATTGCTGCACCTCTGGGCATAGGTAATGTATCAATCCCCTTAACATCTCTCTCTCCTACATTCTGGTCTCCTCAGCAGTTCCAGTGTCTCTCAGAATGATTTTCCCCTGATCTGGGGCCTGGGAGGTGCGCAGCTTCATGCATCACTGCAGTATTATCTGTGCCTCTTTAGATCTTTAAAACAGCCATGTTAACCTTTGTATTTTCAACAGGATTTCACTGTGTGCCCCTGCTGGCCTAGAACTCATTCTGCAGATCAGGCTGGCCTCCAACTCACAGAGCTCCCTACCTCTGCCTCCCGAATGTTGGGATTAAAGGTGTGCACCACCACGCCCAACCACTTGTGTTGGAGAATACAGGGGTGTTGGGTGATTATCTATTTATTTAGTGTGTGTGTTCCTGTGTTCACACACAAAGTTGAGTGTGTATGTGTCAACAATTCATTCTTTTTCTCCCATCACGTGGATCCCAGGAATCCAACTCAGGTCACCAGGCTTGATGGCAAGGAGATGGCTGGGTGGGTAAAAGTACTCATTGTGAATGCAAGAGGCCCTGCATTCAAGCCCCAGCGTCCATATAAAGCCTTGTCGCGGCCGTGTATGCCTTAACCCCACCATAAGAGGTCAGAGACAGGTGGATTGTGGGAGTTTCTGGCCAGCTAGCCTACCCCAAACAGCAATCTTTGGGTTCAGCATTGGCCTAGCATGCAGATGGCTCTAGTTTGCCCCACCACTGCCACCAAAAAAAAAAAAAAAAAAA